GAGAGGATCTCGAGGAGGAAATGAGACAGAGAGGGTGTGACATGGACAAGTTTGGTAAATTAGACAACAGCGAAAAAACGATCGCGATAATTGGGGATAGATGGTGGGCACAAGAGGCCCTAGAGGACGGGGATAAGATGTGCAAGAAATTTTTATGGAGTTTGTGGCAGAAACGTAAAGAGCTCCCAAATGTTGGTGGTGTCTCTAGTAGGTGTAGGAACGGTGCTCCGTCTCGAAAGGGACGCGTGGTCAATGGTCAAATGACTACGGCAAGCAACAAATGAGTACGCCCCCCCCCCCCCAAAAAGGTTAAGGTAAAGCTCTTCTCCTCCTCTCTTACCGTACCGTTTCCCACCTCTGGGAAGAACCCCAACAAAAGTGGCGGCCGCCGCTAAAAACTAACGGTCATCTCGTTTTTCTCTTTCCATTGTAATACCGTCACCGACCTCCTGTGCTGACCCAAACAAAAAGCGACGGCCGGCCGCTGCTTTGGCTAACCCTCTTCTCTTGCTCTCTTGGGACACCGTTACGGCCCTTTCCTGTTTTTTGCGACGAAACAAACAAAGGTGGCGGCCGCAATCGACCCCAAGACCGTCGAGAAGCTCGCCTCCGAGGCCCGGTCTTCCCACCGGACCCCAAGCTACTGCGATCGCCTCGTCGCCCTCTGCTCTTCCTCCTCTTCGGCCAGTCGAAGCTAGACAGAAACAACACCACGGTAGACACACACGTGCGTGCATGGATGTAAAAATACAGCAGTGAGTGGCGTTCTGTTGGGGTGCGCCCACCGCTCTATAAATTATAGGGAAGCCGGTAAAATTACGCCGACTTTGTGTCTCTCTTGCGGCGGATTTCCCGGGGGGGAGGGGGGGGGGGTCGGGTTGGGACCGTCAAGCCTAGTTCGATCTCGCAGCTCCAAAGGGCCCCGAATAACTGGTGAGATGTTATGGTCGCTCGTAGACCTCCTCTTATCTCACGGGGGAGGCACAAAAATCTCAAGAGGTGGTGTTATACTACAGGTGGTGTTATACTACAGGAACTTGAAAGCGATAGAGAAGGAGAAAAGGTGCCCACAGTTTTCTGATTGGCCATTTTTTTTTTGAACGGTCCGGTGGCGTAAAAGAAGCTGCCTTTTTACGGGTCTCTGTCCTTGATGAACTCCGGCACATGGTCTAGACTAACACGGTACGTACGTGGTTC